ATCGTTACATGTGTATGTGAGATGGGTCACCGTCTTAGACTAGATAAAAAAAAAAAAAAAAAGAAAAGAGGAATGGGCTTTGAGCACGGCCCATTGGGCCCTTAAGTTCATGAAAATTCTTAAGAATTTGGTTGTCATAAACACAAATACTGGTTTGGCATGTTAAACAAAATGCGTTGTTCGTCAGATGGACTAGTTAAGACTCGAGCTATAAATGAGTTGAGTTAGAGTTTGTTTAAAGTTTGATTCGCTAGCGAGCCTAGCTCGACTATCTAAGGCTCGAAAAAAATAGATTTTTATACAATTTTATAAAGTTACGGCTCGTCAAGATACGATCTCGACTCGATAATATTGATAAAGGAGAGCTCGAGCTAAATTACTGGCTCGTTTGAATAACGAGTGTCGAGATTGGTTCGACTCGTTTACAACCCTATATGAGGCCAAAATAAGTTAAATTTAACTAGGCAATTTCTGTTCTTTTAATAAAACCGGGTATTTTTATTATAAACTATTCTTTTAAATAAATGATATTTGAGTATATGAAATTTACTACTATTTTTTCTTTTTATTTTACATATTCGATAAAATGGCATATGAACATCAACTGACATTTCATGTAAAAAAGTAAGTCACCTCATATTAGTCTTTTTAATAAATTATGTTATTTCTTTCATAAAATTCATGTATATATTATCTTTGTACTTTTATAAAACCAATAATAAATCAATTAAAATTGAATATATGCCATATATATAAGAGAGTAGTTAATATTTCGCAAGTTATTGTTAAAGGAGAGACATCTCTATATGAAAACACGACTATAAAGTATAATTATTAATATTTTTATTTTACAAATGCAACATTTATATTTTAATACTATTTACGGTGCATTTTATTTAATCCATATTAAATAGTTCCATACTTTGATTTTTTCATACATGCGTCTAGCTAGATTAGTAAGTACTTTATATTTGAATTTGCACTCATTTAATAAACGAGTTAGTGTAGCTCAACTCGCTTAATAAAGTAACAAAAACCTGAGTTGGAATTCGACTTGTATAATCTTGATTCAACTCATTTAATAAACTTTGAAGTCAGCAAAATACAAAAACTCTAACTTAGTTAATAAAAAATATGCTCAATACGACTTGTTTGATAGACAAACTCGATTTATCATACAAACTCGACTTATTTAAATATACAAATGACTCAAACTTGAGATTTCACAAGTCGAATCGAACTATATGAATGGACAATTCAATTAGAATAACGATCGTGCATTTTGAAGGATGGGTGAAAAAATATCTAATTATGATTATAATGAAATGATGGACCCGCAGGTCCAAACGCAAAGCTGACCTCATGTCCTCGAGTACATATAAATCAAATAAAATAGACCTCAGGTCTTCGAGTACATATAAATCAAATAAAATAGACCTCAGGTCCTCAAGTACATATAAATCAAGAAAAATAGAAATATGGTAGGAGCATTGTTTAAAATAGCTTCCTATGTAGCTCGCTATATAACTTTTTTTTTTTTTTTTCGAAAAATGCAATGTAGCTTATATATTTAGCGTTTTTCCCGTAAAGCTTACGCGAAATGTTAAAATGACACGCTTTCTTACGCTAATTTGGTGCTATTTCACGCTACATTATGCTATATTTCTGCAACGACATTTAAACAATAAAATATTCAAAAACTCGTATTTTTTAGGGATCTTAGTCATATTTACAAATGACAACTAAAAACTAAATATTTTGATAATGATTTCAAATTACAAGTTTGAAAATGCAAAGTTCTGAGTTGAATAGTGCAATATTTATTGGTCCATTTTTGTTATATCATTTTATTTTTGGATATTAACATTTAAGTAAAGAATAAAAAGTTCATATCTAATGGATAGAATTAAGTTGTAGTTAAATAAAAAAAATAATAATTAAAACGCATATACTTAAAATTATACTATGACTTACCTCATTGTATTTTCGTTGTTTGTTTTTCTTTTTAGTATATTCGATTTATTATTTAAATATTTATATTATGATATTTACATTAAACATTTGTGAGAAATAATTCTTTAGATGTTATTTTTTAAGCTATTCAAATACTATGATAATTTTTGTAATCAATCATCCAGTTTATTATATGCAAGTATATTTGTAATATTCCTCTAAAAAAAAATTATACCCAAATAGCCTACGTAATATGTAACGCTATTTACGCTACGCAGTATAAATGCCAAAACCGGATGCATTACGCTATATGCGTTTTAAAACATTGGGTGGGAGTAAATAATGATTGCTTGTGAAGGTTTGACTTGTTGTGGGTAATCTATATATATTGAAAAAGATAGGTCAATAAATCATTTGTGAAAACTTATAAAAAAACTGAGTCAATCCATTTGACTTACTACTTATGGCAATTTTTTAAAACATCCAAAAATCCTGTACATCTGATTTTTATTCGCTTTTCGAAATTTAGTTAGATTTTTTTGTTTAATTTTTGTTAATATGTAGGCGGATATTGTGGAATGAAATCGCTGGAAATCCATGATTTGCTATAAGTC